AAGCTGTTGATCTTGAAATAGGCCGTCGGTCCTTCTGGTAGGTGGCAGAAAATTATTCCATCTAAAGGCACAAAGCTATGTTACGTGATGGGGAAATAAGAAACGGAGAACAATGATATCACTTGGCTTCTTCTGGTCTTCATGAACAACAATTAAATCAGTGTAAGAGCGGGCTATAGATTGCTTGACAACTTTTTTCAATGGAACTCCTTTGCGAGAGAAAATCTCAGCGTTTGGAATACACTTTTGCAGTTCGAAACAGAACTTCCATGTAGTCTGCAATAGAAAAAAGAATCGAAAGCATGATTTAATATCAGCATAAAATAGTTGAGATAACGATACCTTCTTCGCAAATGGCGACATTGTTATTAGAACCTTTGGTGTCGTTTCGCGATTGAAGTACGCTGCAAACTCGTCGTGAGCTTCATCATGCTCTATCTTGAAAAAGAAGCAAAACTTATATTCTCGATAAGATAATACATACTGAAAGTGATTAGTTGACCTCTTCATCGTTATCTTGGACCATTGTCACATCGTATTCTCTAGTGCTCTCAATTGTTTTCGGCACTTCTTTCGGCGGTGCTGCATCTCCGAGAGTTTCTCGCAATTTTTCCCGTTCAGCTTGTCGCGCGCGCTTATTCTGCAGAACCAAATCATAACGCAAAAAACACAACAATTAGACTGAATCAAAGTGAAAAAAGAAATGTCAAGTTTACTAACCTTTTTCAGTGCTTTTCGGAGAGCAACTCCGCGTTCTGTTTTAGGGAGGTGTTTGAACTCATCCTTTGTAACAGTTGGTGTCTTTTTCACCTGAAAAAGAGGAACAGTTTTCATTCATATAAAGACGCGATACCAAAGGTGTTTAATTTCCTCTGAAAGACTTATTAGGCGCAGATCTAACGTGAAGCGTGGCACCACTTCCTACCGCATGCGCCCGTACAGTCGCAAATGTATTTGCACACAGCAAAGAAAATGGTGCGTTCTAATGGAGCATGTACGACACGCAGCGCGTTAATATTGTGCGCGATAGAACTTTCAGGGCATACCGAAAATCGGTGTATTTTACTTTTACTTTTTATACTTTGTACTTTTTGAAGCTCATCATTCTAAT